GACGATCTATTTGGAAGTACTCCTCCGGATGAGCAGCCACAACAACCCACACAGCCGGTCCGAGTTGTCGGGGGCGGTAAAGTCAAAACTCGGGATTCCGTCATGTTCAACCGACATTACACGAAGGCTCCAAATGAAAAGAAAGGAGGTGATCCTTATTTTCAGGCTATTTGCAACTACTGTCCGGCCAATTCGAAGACGAAGTATCAGTTCAAAAAAGGCGACGGGTACGGGACGTTGACCCGACATTTGAAGAATGTTCATCCGACCGTAATAGGAATCGACACGGCACAGACGCAATTCCCAAGTAGCAGCGGAGCATCCGCCTCAGCCACTCAAGGTGCAGGTACGTCTTTATTTCATTACTCTCATGAAAATCATAGACGTCATTTAGCTGAATTTGTTTCTGCTTCGTCTCTTCCTTATAGTTTTGGTGATAGTGATTTATATGAAAATTTTGCTCAAATGGCTTTAAATCCGTCTGCCAACCGAGTTCCTCGTACCACCCTTACTCGTGATATTCGAAAAATCGTGAGTGAGAAGAAACTAATTTTAAAAGAAAATTTTAAATCTTTAAATCATAGAGTATCCATTTGTGCTGATATATGGTCCGATCATTGGATAAATAATTTTTTTATTTAGGGATTACTTGTCATTGGGTTGATGATAGTTGGACTTTACAAAAATGTTTAATCGCTTATGTTGCATTTCATGAACGACACGTTGCTTCTAATATTGCTCGTTTAATTTAAAAAATCTTAGATAAATATAGTATTGGTAAAAAAGTATTTTCAATTTCATTTGATAATGCGACTGCAAATACTGCATCTATACGTGAATTAAATGATGTTTGTACACCAATCTGTGGGGGTAGATTTTTTCATATTCGTTGTATATGTCATGTTTTAAATTTGTGTGTTCAAGCTGGTTATCATGCTTTTAAGGATTCTGTGACGCCAATAAGGGAGGCCGTCAATTATTTGCATAAACGTCCCCAGGAAATGAAAGCATGGGGACGATTTTGTAAGAGTGTTGGAATTAAACCTAAAAAATTCCAGCCAGACGTGCCTACCCGGTGGAATTCAACATTTAAAATGTTGAATGTCACCGCTGATTATGCCGAGCATTTACAGGATTTTTTTAATGATCCAAACCGTAGGGATTGTGATGTTCGACTTTCGGCGAATGATTGGGCAAACTGTTCACAACTTACAAATTTTTTAGAAACATTTCAAAACGCTAGTAATATTCTTTCTGGTGTTTACTATCCTATTGCTCAACTTGTGGTCAGTCAATGTATAGCTATAATGTGGGGTTTTAAAGATATTTATGACTTAGAACCTTTTAAATATTCTGGTCTAGTAGAAGATATGTTACAAAAATGGCTAAAATATTATTATTATATTCCCGATACATTTTTAATTGCATGTCTGTTAGATTCTACAGTTCGTGAGCAAGGTTTGTTAAATCAACTTAATATGTACTATGATTATATGTATTAATTGCCACTGCCGAGTGGGGTCCCGTCTTACAGGGACAAACCTAACATACCGCAGCTCGTCGAGCAAGCAAAAAATTCGTTGTATGACATGTTCAGGGAAACAGCGATCGCACATGGAGAGTCTCCTAGCACATTTGTTCGTAGCAGCGGCGCAAGCGGCAGCGGGTCTTCATCTTCATACGGAGGGCAAAGCGGCAATAAAAACTACGGAAACTTCAAAGTGTTTTGGGATTCATTAAATCCCTACAAAAATTTGGGCGGTCAAAGGGTGCAGGGGACTGGATACTATGAGCTGGATCACTACCTTACGTCGAATTTAGCCGTTACGATTGCACGTCCACCTCAACCGCCACTCAATTTCGATGTGTTAGATTGGTGGTCAAGAATGGAAGGAATTTTTCCTATTCCATGCATTATGGCCAAGGAGATCTTTGTTGTCCCAGCATCTACAGTTGCGGTTGAGCAAGCATTCAGTGAGGGCGGCTACATGCTAGATCCACGACGGTCGAGGATGACGCCTGATAATCTTCAAGCACAAATGTTACTGAGTGATTGGAAGAAAGCCGAACGAAGGATGCAAACTGCTATGCTCATTTCGAATGAGGAGGATGACGACAACGACGTTGCATCCGATTTTACGTCGTCGACAAGTGGAACCGGGGGGGGACGTTGAAGACGAATACGAGTATTAAAGGTATGCAGCCAAGGTATGTGATTTAGAAGAACTACGTGGACTTTGATTCCCAAATAAAGGGATACGTAGGCACCTTATTTAACATTATTAAGTTCGAGTATAATTTTTTGACATCAAAATTTTTCATCGTACACGATATTCGAACTTAATAACTGTTAATTAAGCTCAAGTCCATTCCATTAATAATTTTTTTCTTTACACTTATTTTTTAAGTATATACAAACTATTTATTCAAATAAACATTAATGTACATTAAAATAAAAAAAAAAAAAAA